GTGCAGGTGGGGGAGGGAGCGGGGTTGTGAGCGGTTCGGGTTTCGTGCGCAACGGGCTTTGAGGTCGTGCATCAAGTTGGTGATGGTCGTGGTGTTAGTGGTGGTGTTGTGAGTGTGACGATGAGAAAACTGCGGGTTTGGCAGGGGACGGGGTGGATTCACGCCTCGCAGACTTGTGTGGGGTGGGGGCCGCGGCGCAGCACGGGCACGGCCGGCCGGCGGGCGACGGCGCGGCGGGCGGGCGCTCCGCCGCCGCCTGGAGCGGGGCCGCAGGTCGGGCCTGCCCTCGACGGACCGCGTGGACGCGCCGGCCCGGGTCCCGGCCCGCGGCTGCTGGCGCACGGACTGCTTGGATTGCATTGTATTCCAAGGGCGCGCGCCGCCGCCTCGGCCGCGGCGGTTGCGTCGGCGCACCTTTCGGTGCTTGGTCTCGGGTGACGATGGCACCAGCGCCCCCTCGGACGCCTCGGCGCCGCCCGAGGTGGCTGTCTCCGCCTTGGATGCGCCCTTCCTCTCGCCCCGCAGCCTGCGGGGCAGGCCATAGGAGGGGCCCGAGGGAAAGCAACAGGTGCAGTGAGCGGCAGTGACGTCAAGACAAGGCGCAAGCGGACCGAGGGCGCGTCGGTGGGGGTAGGGTACTAGAGGATGGTGCAGGGGAGAGAGTGCGGGTGCGTTGAGGCGTGCCGAGGGGCGCGCGCCGCCTTTGTGCAGCCGCCCACATTGGTAAGCGGCGGTGACGTGTGTGGTGCGCGCTCGCTGCGTCGGCGCGCAACTTCGAGCCTCTGCTCTCGACGCTCACCCCTTTAACATCTTGAGCCCCCAAGACGATTCATCGTCCTTAGAGCCGCTGCTCGCGTGCCGCTGCTGCCCTTGGAGCCACTGTGGCAATCTTCGCTCGCCGGCAAGGCTCTGCTGCCGCGAAAGCGCTTGTGCCTGGGCAATCCTCGCTGCCAGCAGCACGCGACGCGACTGCTGGCGCAAGGCCATCGTCACCCGCTAGACTCTGGAATGATCTGCGCTATTCCACCTCCGCGCCAAAGAATGGAGAAAACTTATGCAAGTGATTGATATGATGATCACAATTGAGTGATGCAGGCACGGCCAATGGCGGTCTTAGACTTACCAATGCTGTGCTGTGCTTGCCTTGTTGCCTACTCGGCGGCGATGACGCTCCATGACTGCATTTCGGGTGGCTGCTACCAAGCAGCAAGGCGTGGCAGCTGGGTGCAGTACACGGGAAACCACATTTTTGATGTAGCTTGTGTTTTCCACGACCCAACTCAACTCTTCTGACATCCTGCTCACTTCACTTGCCCAAGCTGCTCTGTCAGCACTGGAGACGCGATTGGCTCCGGTGGGATTTGGGACAGTAGCCGCTGCCACTATAGTCAGTCTCGGCCCATCCCAAAGCGTCATCCGCCAGCTTTCAACGCTGATTTGCAGCGTGAGCCAGATCCCAGCCAGGGCAGTGCGGCCACCGCTTCCCGCGCAAGCAAACGCAGCTGAGCACTGCCGAGCGGACTTCGGTCCTTTGGTGGCGCCAAGACCCTGCCGCCCACCTGAGCGGCCGAGGCCGCGCCACCCCGCGAGCCGCCCGCGTAAAGGTCTGTGCTCACGCAGCCTCGCTGCTGTGCAGGCCACGGCGTCGCCAAACTGCAACTGCTCTGACACTGTCGCGTCGCTGCGCCCAGTCCCTGCAGCCGGCCGCCCCAAGTCTATGTCGATGCAAACACGAGGAGTGTGTGGCTGTGGATTTGCTTGCATCGCGGGGCATCGCTGCGGCCCACGCGCCCAGCAGCCTCGAGGGGTCGCAGGGGCGCATCGAAATCCCCACTGCTGCGTGCGCGTGTCCTGTGCAGACTTGAGGCGCGACTACGAGGCACATGGATCTGGAGCCGCAATCATTGCCAGGGGACCCGTCGGTTTGGCACACAAGGTGCTGCTGCTGCATCGATTCCAGCAGCAGCTGCGGCCGCGGCGCTGTTGCGTGCGCGAGGCCGCGCGCGACAGCACCGGGGCGTTCACAAATCCTACGGCAGCAGCCGGTGCTGACGTCGCAGCCGGCCGCCCAGCCGGGCGGGGCGCTTGGAACCTCACGTCTGCGCAGCCGCCGCCCCCGCCCCCGCCGCCTCGGCCTCGCCCGTCCCCGCCACGCGCACGCCGCTGGGGGCGCCCGCGGCGTCGTACAGTATCTCCACCGCCGCGCCGCCGCTGTCCAGGCTCAGGCGGCCCGCCTGGCACGGGGGTGGTGGTGGTGGAATTCACGAGTGGGCTGCGCAGCCGGGAGGGGCCTTGGGGTGCAGGCGGCTTGGCGGGAGCGAGCGATCAAACCGCGCTTGTCAAGAAAAACCTGGCCGGCCCCCGCCCCCCCCCCCCAGTCCGGCGGACTGCGCATGTGCGCGCGACCGACGCCACCCATGGGAAGGCGTCCCAGGGCATCCCGCACCACCTGCTGCAGCGCCCCCCGCCCTCGCTTCTGCCAGCCACCGAAAAACCTATGCCGAGCAGTGTGAGTCGCTGCGTCCCTGACACTCCCCACCCACTGCCCTCAGGACGCGCGACGCGCACGCGCATGCGCGCGCACGTGCACACCTGCAGGATGGCTGTCACTGCCAGTGTGTCCTGCGCCAGCGCCAGCTGCCCCTCCTGCCGTACCGCCTCCAGCGACACCTCCCCGTCACGCAGGTCCCTGATTACATGGCATTGGGGGGGGGCAGGAGGAGGGGGCGATTGAAAGGGCGGGCGAAGGTCAAGGGTTCAGGCGCGCCGCCTGCGCGCTTGGAGACGCGTCAGGGGCGGCGCCGCGCGACAGGCGCGATCCGGTGTGCTTGAATGGCGCGCGGAACGGGCGTCCGACGGCCGGGCTGCAGCCGGGAGGTGCCCCGGGAGCCGGTGCCTGCCGGGAGGGCAGGGGCCTGCGGGGCCCTGCGCCGAACGCCAGCACTTGCGCCCTCAGGGGGGTGCGGGGCGGGGGCCAGGGCGGGCCTGCACTCGTCCTCACCGCGCCGCGTCGATGAACTTTGCTATGCTGATGTAGCCGTAGCCGGTCTGGCCTGCGAAGCGGCCTGCGGCATCCGGCACGTACCTTTTTGGGGGGCAGCGGCGGGTGTGGGCACGGTGTCACAGGATGTGGGATGGAAACTACATGCAGCGTACAAATCAGGATCGGGTTTTCCTAATTAAGAGGCTAGTGATTGCCACGTTTGGGGGGAGGGTGACGCGTGAGCGTGCGTCCGAAGGGCGTGGCCAAGTCCTGCAAGTCCACTCCGCAAAAGGTCGCTCGAACATGCAACGAGCTGCCCGGCGCC